GCAGGTGCTTTATCAGCATTTGCTGACTGGCTGATCTTACTGCAATGCTCTCCTCTACACCTATACCTTAAAGAATCCTACTCATCCTTTAAGATTCACCTCAAATGTCATGTGTTCAATAGGGTATTTATGTCCTCATCAGCACTGTCTAAAGTTCAGATCAACAAAGTGACTGAACACCTACTATGCAAGAGGTCCGTGCTAGGCAACGGGGGTAACAATCAGCAAGGTGTTGTTACAGTCCCTGTGGCATTCACAATCTAAAGGAATTGTACAAACTGATGGTAATTAGACTGTACAATTAATGCGATAAAGATTCATGACCTGCCTTGTAACATCTCTCCTATTGTACCAAACTAAAATTTAGTCGCTGTTGGCCACGCTGTCACCCAGGGATGCTGGCTATACGCAAAGAGAACCATGCGGTGCCGCCCCCCTACCCCTCCCCTGCTCCTCTGGATCCTCAGACATCACAGGGAGTGAAAGGTTAGAGGCCAAGAATCCTCTTCTTTTCCCAGTAGTGGACTCTTTATATTAAAGAAATCTGCACAAGTACTCTTTATATGAAACTCATAGTTTTGGAAAGTTAAAGGTATGTGCTTCAAAAGCTCTAATGTTTTCTACATAAGATAGGTAAGTATGTCAAATATGATGGAATTAAATGATATAGGTGGAAATGCTTGGCGAAGTTGTGTGGGCATGTAACACTATATATTATATGTAACACCACATAATGCCATACATACACCAATTATGAAAACCATAATTTCAGTGTTATTTAACTTTTCAAAGGTTTGAGCATTTGCTGCCCAAATAGACTATAAATTCCTGATGGTAGGAGCCATGTCTTCACACTTCTTTTCTTTTTCCCATGACACCTGAGCAAAGAGCCTTTGTTAACAGCGGATAAGATTTCAGAAAACCACTGCAAATCCTTAGTTCTAGCCTTGATAGCTCTGCCTTTCAGGAATAAAATCCTTTACTCTGAAAACCATCACTGATTATTCTGGATCACTAATGACAGAATGTCATTTAAATAATTCTCCAGAGGACACGGTTGCTACTGACATTAAGAAGAGGAATGTTTTTAATATAAACTGAGAAAGAAAACAAATTTATTTACCTGAACTTCGTTCTCTTTAGAAAAAGCACTAGAACAAAAATTCATAGATAAGAATTTAAGCACAAAAACTCTTAAATCATGGAATGATGTTGAATTCTTTTAATACCTGTAACTGAAATTCACCTCTCATATCCAAAGAACATATATTTTCTTGAAGAGCGCTGCCATGGGCTTTTATAATAGGCAGATTTCTTTAGTACCAAGTATAAATTGCCACATTAATTCATATAAAAAGTAAAAATAAATGAATATAAACACAAAGATCCTTAGAACTTATCCACCCTCTATATTTGAACATGATGTATAATCTTTCCATCAAAACCACTTCACTAAACACTGACATAAGGAAAACTTGAATTCCTAAAATACTATTATCTGAGTTTTCATTAATTCCATATTAACTTGCTACTAGAATATATATATGATTTTAAAGATGATGTACTTAAGAGTAACAATACTTTAAAATAAAATAACTCTTTTCTGTCTCATTTTCTTTCAAATACAGTAATTTCTTCCTCCTGAGATTTCTAATAATTCATCAAGACCCCTGAAAAGATCAGGGGCCTGAAAGGAATGCTGAGTGTGTGGAACGCAGCCCTAGCTCGGAGGGAGTCAAATGAATGGCATGGTTTCCCAGCGCGCATAAAAGTCATTGACCCTACCCTGCAGCCCATTAAGTGTGAAGTAGCGCTGTGTCTGAAAAAAACAAGGTACCTACCTTGGCTAAAAAGACAATTCACGGCTAGAAAATGCTAACCACCACCTGGGCTTTCAGTGAGCTGTAATCACTGATCACAGAATAACATAACAAATATAATACCGAAAATGTCTGAAATATTGAGAGAATCACCAAAATGTGACATACGGAGGTGAAGCGAGCAACGTGGTTGGTGAGACGGTGTCGAGGACGCACGCGGGGCAGGGCTGCCACCGGACTTCAGTGCATGAGAAACACCCACTCTACGAAGCTTAGTAGAAGAAGGTAGGCCTAAAACCTGACTTCATCTCCCCTTAGCCACTCAGAACCATCTAACACATCTCTCCAGAATCGGTCATGCTGTCAGCCTTACCTAGAAGCACTTTCCCATTAGGTCCATTCGGTTCATGAAGAGTACGCAGGTGAGGACAGGAATTCCATCGAACTCATGCGTATGAAAGGAAACTCAGGCAATGGTTGAGAAAATGAGTGTAGCGGTGCCCCCTGATCCGAGGGGCCTTCATTCTGAGATACCCAGCGGATGCCTGAAACTGCAGACAGCACGGAAGCCTCTACGTGCTATGCTTTTTCTCATACATACTCACCTAGGATAAAGTTTAATCTATAAACTAGGCACAGTAAGAGATTAACAGCAATAACTCATAATAAAATAGAATGATTATAACAATATGCTGTAATAAAAGTTATATGAATGTGGTCCCTCTCCCCAAGTATCTTATTATACTGTGTATACCTTTTTCTTGTGATGTGAGATGATAAAATGCCTACGCGATGAGATGAAGTAAGGGATGAGGGATGGTGATGGAGCATGAGGCTACTAGGGACCTTCTGACGATGTCCGGAGGAGGGCTGTCTGCTTACAGACTGCAGCTCACAGTGGGCAACGGAAAGATGCAGAAAGTGAGGCAGCGGATGAGGGGGAATTACAGGAATTATGTCACGTAGGAAAGAACGTATGAACAAAGATGATGTTAGATATTACAGCTGGGCACAAAACTAGAGGTGCTTATTTATTCTTTGCTTTGGTCTGAAAACAAATAATAAAAATGCAGGCTTTGGGCTGATGAACTTAAAAATCTTGCCAAAGTATATATGTTACCACAGAGAGAGCCCAGGGCTGGCCCCTAGGAGTCTCTAATTCCACAGCAAGTAGAGACTCCTCCTGTGACTACATGGAGTTGTTTTAACTGTTAACAAAGAAAAGCATTTAAAAATCTCTTTACCCCAGTGCAGCAGAGTTCCTAATTTCCACTGTCCCTGACCCCTGCACTTCTACACTTGGCTTCTCAATGCAAAAACTAAAAGCTACACAATTTCCCTTAACTAAATCAAAATGGTTCTAAATTGAAAATCAAGACCCAGGAAGTATTTTTTTAAAAAAAGTTTAACCTTTGATCAGTGAAAGCAGAATAAAACTGTTGAAGGAAAAAAAGGCCTTCTTTTAACTCACTACCAAATCGATAATTCAAAGAACCCTCCACTAACATATGTGGCAAGCTGAATAAGAGCCCACAAAGACATCCACGCCCTTGATCCATGGGATTTGTGAGGTGCTGCTTACGTGGCAGAAGATTTCAGCAGGCATGACTGGGTTAAGGGTCTAGAGACAGGGAGACCACCTGGATCATTCAGGAGGGTCCAGTGCAATCACAGGTGTCCTCACAAGGACAGCAGGAGGACCCGACGAGGAGTGGGGGTGGGTGACAGTAGGCCAAGAGGTGGGGTGACGTGAGGAAGGGACAGCCAAGGAATGCGGGGGCCTCTAGACCCTGAGAGGCCAAGGCAATGGAGGCGCCAGGCCTCCAGGCAGAACAGGCCTTCTGAGAACCGGATGTCAGTCCCCCGAGACCTGCTTCAGACTCTGACCCCCAGGACTTTAAGGTAGTAAGTCTGTGTCCTTTCAAGCCACTAAATTTGTGATAATTGGTCACAGCAACAAAAGGAAATTAACACAACATTTTATTATACTTGGAAGGATTGTGAAGCCTAGTAGATGTTATTAACACTAATTTAACTGAAGCTACAAAGAATAATTATGTAAGAGGGGTTGGAAATGCCAGGCCTGCCCATGCTACCCCCCTCCGTGGGAACTGAGAGCTTTGGAGAACATAAAGCAGACATAAGGGCGAAGGAAGAACATGATTTTACAAAAGACAGAGAAAGCATCTAATTCCTGTCTATGTACTGAGCAAACACAGACTCAAAGAGCTTGCAACCGTGTGAGGGTTCCACACAGTGCACATCCGTCAACCTGACTTGGATAAACAACAAGCTATGTGACACTCCAAGGAGGTAAAAGTAGAGTCTGAAAGGGAACAGACGTATCTTCACAGAAGCAGCTGCCAGAAGAAGCACCGAGCTGCAGGGTACTGACTACATAGGTACTCTGACCTGTGACGTAAGTCCGAACTCTAAATTTCTACTCTACTGAGGAGGGAAATCTGGAGAAGTGCTTTTACCTTGGCTTTTCAAGGCAGTTATATTCTTGCTCTACTTTGGTTTCCCATATGCAACTCCCTCCCTTCTATCTGGAGGAGGAGAGGGGGATACACAGCACAATGCAGAAAACTGTCAGGAAACAAAAATGTTTTGTTTTCATATTAATAGTTTCTATATGGACTGCAGTCACTTTCTTCTATCAATAGGTGGTGAGCTTGTGCTGGCTGGGCGAATGCTGTAGCTCATTAAAACTGAGGCAGAGCCGCCTGAGACGAGGAACAGCCCCGTTCAGGCACCGCCAGCTAAGCAGACAGGAGATGTACTCCTTGAAGACTACTCTTCAAATTACCATAGAACTACAGACTTGAGAATAAACATGCCGTCTATCAGCGGGGACACAAATCAACCTCAAGTGAAGCTGAGAGGCTACACAATTTTAGCAGTTTTTCTCACCACTTTATCCTGTATGTTTTTCTTTATAAATAATACAATTTCCAATTTCCCTTTTTTCTTTCTCCCTACTGTGGATCAACCTAATACTACATGAAAACTAAGATAAATGTATTTTGAAAGTTTACTGATTTTCAAGCCACACACGCACACTCAAATCCTTTATTTTCACTTCTTTCTGAATAAATGGAAATAGATAATCCCTTGCTTTAATGCCCTTGAAAGAAAAGCGTCTTTATTCTTATTTCGTATCCTCAACACGCTTCTCACCTGCTATTTTAATATTCAGATTGGCATCCAGAAGCAAATTTTCAGCTTTTAGATCACGATGGACAATGTTCCGACAGTGACAAAAAGAGACGGCGGCAACAATCTGTTTGAACTTCCGACGGGCCTCCTTCTCCGCCATTCTGCCATGGGCCACCAGGTGGTCTGCGGCGAAGAAGAACACAGTCAGCTCGCACTTCAGACACTGAGAGTTCCTAAGGAGGGGCGCAAGGGGGCTATCAAATGCATGAGTTAAAGTGAAGCGAACAAACGGAAAACAACACACTAACAGTCCTGGTTTGTACCTATAAAAATCCCTTAGTAATCAGTACCCAGAGTATTTTAACTGTGTTGCATACGAATACACACGCCGTACCATAAGAAAGAGAGTTCCGAGCAAGGATCATTAACACATTAACACTCAACACCTTCCTTTTCATAGCTCCAGTGCAAAAGATTACATACACACAGCAAGCATGCAAATGGAAATAACTATCAGCAATATTTCCTGTGTGCTAAAGGGTGAGTCACAATAATCAATCATTTTAGGAAAGAGTAGACAGAAATTGGTCATTGCTAAGGGGGAAAAACTGCTTTATCCAGGACTCTGTTTAGGCTAACATCTCTTCTGCTTTCTCAGAGCTTCAAGATTTGACCTAAAAGTGTACACACTTGGCGGCTATTCTCTGGAATGCATCATAATATGCCTACATCTTTACACCTGCATTTATTGGGCTCACCAAATATTTTTAAAACTATGTTATTAATTTTTACAGATAATATCAATAGAAAACCAAGTGAAGTTTCTACTACTTTAAATGTAATGATTTCATTGGCTATGTTGCTAACTAAGATATAGCAAATAGATTTTTCTAATAGTGGCAGTAGGCTTACAATGAACCAATGATCTATATATCCCTAAACCAGCAATTCATGTAACTAACAGCATACACAGGTCGGGACAGCTGATGGGATTAGAAATGTCAGTGGTACAGTTTACTCTTTGAAATTTCTAATAGTCTCGTCAGCACTCTCCTTACGCCAACTGATCTAGCTGGGGAAAAGACATATTTGCCTGAAACAGTGGGAAAGTGAACAAGTACACAATGTAAATAAGTGTATTATTGTTTGTCTATCCATAGTAGCTTCAGTAATAACACCCAGTTATTTTGGTACCATCTCAATCATCCACAGGACAAGTCAGGTCTAACTTTTCTTTATCACAAAGAGGGAGTTTGAGGTAAAACATATGCCCGCGAATTCAAGACTGAGAGCTCAGGACAAGAAATAGGGGCAGGGGATGGGAAGAAGGGGAGCTAAATGACAGACATGTACAGATTCAAACTACAGTCTGACCACAAAGAACATAAAATTTTGGAGCCCAATTACTATGGTAATTTTAAGAGTAATGTTAAATAAGTAGATCATTTAAATGATCTGTCTTTAAAGACCCTGCAAAGGAATTGCTGTAATTGTTAGGGTTATTAATGACCCACACACAAGATCTTTGAAGCATTCCTCTCAAAAGCAATCATTATTATGGCCAAGATTATCAATTTAGTAGGAAAAAAAGGTAAAATAAAATAAGTCTTTAGCCTCAAAGGTAAAAGGACTAGAACACAGCTTCCAACCGGCGTTTAGAGGTGGTGACAAATGAGCTCACACTCGTGTGTGTTTAGGCTTCTGCTAAGATCTGTCAAATCAACTTTAAACAACACAAAGTCCCTAACTAGGGATAGTAACTTAATATAAGCTGTTAAAGAAGTGGACATCCATCAGATGTACAACGCTGTTTATTTTAGGAGGCCGTTCTCTAACAGTACCTGCTCCTTTGACCCCCTCTTTCTCTTAACCCAAGGCCTAATTATTCTAATAATATGTTTTAGCTGCTAAACTTTGTCTAATTAAAGAGCTTTGAAGAGACAGCTATGCTTAAGAAACATAAAAATAAACCCTTATGAAGGTTTACCATGAGAAGCTCATTTGGCCAAGCCACCCATTAATTAAAATACCCAAGAGACATTCGTCTGGCAGTAAATACCAATTATCAGATCACATCAAAGAGCTTCTTAAATACAACAAAATGATTAATTTCATGATTTCCAAAATAAGTAATCTTCCTTTGTTAAAAAAAAAAAAAACTGTTCATATTTTCTAAGCACTTTGTTTTCCCAAAATGATTGGAAAGTTCTCAAAATTGTTACATGCACCACGAGCTGATAGAATGTAGCCTACTTCTGTTTTATCTCTATAATGACACACTGGTTGTCCTTGGACAAACCATTTACTCTGCCAATATCCCCACGTCTTGATCTGCTAAATAGAAATAAAACTCTGCTACATGTTATGGTCAAAAAAGTACAGCATGTTTGGAAATACACTTGTACTTTACTTAAGAGTTATCATATATGCTATAGCTAACTTTCAAAGACATTAAAAAAGCTATTTTTTAAAAAGTCCACTATATATTACAGAGAGAATACTTTTTTTTTTTTTTAATCCACTATATATTACAGAGAGAATACTTAAGCACTTGGTTGGTCAGGATTCTGCAGTGCTTGAAGGTAATCATTACATGTACATCAACTGTCACTGTTACATAGTTCTGGTTAAAACTATCACACTGGATAAAAGAGCTTAAACCACACAGTATTTCCCCAAAAGATACCTACAATATTCCTAGACATATAAAGAAAATATATGAATCACTTTTTTTTTTAAAGTATTGGCTGCAAACATCAGGTGTCTCTTCCTGGTCATTTTGTTTGATGTTTAAATTTTCTCCTCCTCCGCATCATCGTGCTCTTCTACAATACAGGACCATCTTAACAGCTCGATGCCATTCTCACTGTCGCCGCAGCTTTGATTTTTGCCCATCTTACTACCACCCCCGCCCCCAACCCCCATCCCATTAGTTTGCTTTCCGTGTAAACCTCCCGCGCCGCGTGGGTGTGCCAGGAAGCCAGCAGCCTGCGGTGCATTTCGGGCCTGCTGAGATCGCCTTCCAGCTGCCCGCTGACAGATGGCCGCTTTATGTTCCTGTGCGCTCCGCAGGCAGGCAGAAAAATGTCCTCAAGCTCAAGTGTGATATTTGACTTTCAGTGAAGAAACCCCGAGCAGAAGTCCAGCGGGGACTTGACACGAAGTCCCAGCATTCGGATCACACCGGGGCCATTTCGGGAGGTGAATGGGACGGAGCGGCTCCTGAACCACCCGACGCTCCGAGGAAGACGCGTTCTGGATCTTCTCGGGACAGACCCTGGCTGCAGGGGGCCCTGAAGACTTGTTCTGCTTCTCCCAGGCCCCTCAGTGACCTGGTCCTCCAAACACCAGGCAAGATACCGCCCGCATCTTCCGTCCCCAGCACCCGCACTGCAGCCACCACCCTAGCTTCCTGGAGTCCTAGATTCCTGCTGCCACCGCCTCCCAGTCTAGACGGGCTTCAATTAAGATGCTTGCTGTGTAAACTCCACCGCAGTAACTCCTTTTCCACCATCAACTAACTACTTACCTGTCTGGCCACGGCTACCCCTCTGGGGCAAACATAAAGTGTTTTCTCGGTCACAGATTCACTCCAACCACTCCAGCCCAGACGAGGATGAGATGACTGTTACTTAAAAGAAGAAAATGATTCTCCTGTTTCAAGCTCTTATCAGCAGTAAGGAGTCTTATGTTGTGTTTCTCACTTTCTAGTTGCCGTATGTCACTTGGCACTACATTTCTTCAATCTTTTTAAATCTGGTCTTCCACACAAAAGAGAACATAAGTTAGTGACACTAAGGGGTTTAACACCTCATGAGGCGTAGCATTATCAGAAGTGGAGGGAATGACTTCGGAAGTCCCGTAAGTGTCAGAGCACCAGCATGCATGAAGTTTGCCGCAGAATTCGTTCCTTGTAATTTTGTGCCAGTCTGACTCAGGAAGAAATATCTTGTGGTACATTTAGATTCTAACCTTTCAAAGAGCAAAAATGCACATAAGGCAGCCTTGACTTCCTCAGTCCGGTTCCACTGGGGTGACAGAGGCATGCCACGAACGGGATAGTGGGGGGGAGCCAACTCTTCTTAAAATACGTCACTTTTCCACCATAAACAGACAGTGTCTCTATTTGTCTGCTAAGTCTACGACCCGTGACCGACCAACGGCTGAGAAGGAGCACACCGTGACTACAGGCCACGCGCCAGAGCAGAAACGCTTCCCTTTCCGCGGTGACGGGACAACTGGGCTGAGCGGGGGAAAGGGGCGTGTGTGCTCAGCTCGGGTGGCCGCCTGGAGACGGTGTCGCCAATTCCAAGCCAGCCGCAGCCAGTAGCAGGTCTCTGCCACTGGCCTCTATCATTTCTTCTTTCCACATCCATGGAAACGACTTCCTGTTTATCAAACACATGCATCTTTCCAGAAGAACCAGGGCGAGGCCAAGATAACTCAGCTGCCAGGGAGCAGGTTAACAAAGGGCACCCACTTAACATCACACACTGTCCCTCGGTCTCGCAGGCTCCAAGCTGCCGCTGACGGAGGAGGGTGTGTTGTGTAGCTTTTCTTGCCAAGCCGAGTCTCAGGCATCCTCACCTGTTGCTGCTTCTCGTCACTGTCTCTTCTTCATTCTTCCGACAGTCCAGGCCAAAAACGTGTTGTCTTTCGTTCTCTTCTCCCACACCCACGTCCAATCCATCAGCAAATTTTGTTAACACTACCTTCAAAGTATATTGAGAATTCAACTCTTCCTCACCCCACCCCTACCCCGTTCTAGTGCCACCGACCTAGTCTATCAGCCCTTATCTCCTTCCTGGATTACTGTAATCAACTCGTAACATTACTCCTAACTAGGATCCCTGATTCTGTCTTGGCCCCCTGTAATCTATTCTCAAGCAACAACCAGCATAATAACCCTTTTAACAACAACTTTCTGTTTTGAAATAATTACAGATTCATTAGAAGATGCATAGACAGTACAGAGAGTTCCCATGTACCCTTCACCAGTTTCCCCCAACAGTTAAATCTTACATGACTATATAGCAGTGTCAAAACCCAGAATTTCAAATGGGTACAACGTGTGTATAATCCTGTCGTTTTATCACATTGTATTACATGTTGTGGGACTACCACCGCAGTCAAGGCACAAAATGATCTGGAATTACTCATCACTGAGCATTCCTACAGGTATA